ATCCCCGGGACAATTCCCGGGACAATTCCCGGGATTCCCGGGGGAATTCCCAGGACAATTCCCGGGAGGATTCCCGGGAGGATCCCCGGGATCCCGGCGCCGAGCAGCGCGCCCGGGCCGCGCTCCGGGAGCGATTCCTGCGGCTCCTGGGATCCGCCCGGGGCCGCCGGACGCGCTTTTCCCTCTGGAGCGGGATCCTGGTGCCCGCCGAGTTCGGGGCCGCCGATCCGCAAACCGGAGCCTTGCAGGTGCTTCCCCTTCCATCATTCCCACGCCTTTCCCTCTTTTCCTGCATTTCCCCCATTTTTCCCGGATTTTTTTCAGGATTTTCCCCCATTTTTTCCTGGATTTCCCCCATTTTTTCCGAATTTTTTTCAGGATTTTCCCCATTTTTTCCTGGATTTTCCCCCATTTTTTCTGGATTTTTTTTTCAGGATTTTTCCCATTTTTTTTCAGGATTTTTTCCCATTTTCTTTCAGGATTTTTTTCAGGATTTCCCCCATTTTTTCAGGATTTTTTCACATTTTTTCAGGATTTTTTTCAGGATTTTCCCATTTTTTTCCGGATTTTCCCCCATTTTTTTCCGGATTTCCCCCCATTTTCTCAGGATTTTTTTCAGGATTTTTCCCATTTTTTCAGGATTTTTCCCATTTTTTCCCCGGATTTTCCCCCATTTTTTCAGGACTTTCTCCCATTTTTTCTGGATTTTTTCAGGATTTTCTCCCATTTTTTCAGGATTTTTTTTCAGGATTTTCCCATTTTTTTCAGGATTTTTCCCCATTTTTTTCAGGATTTTTTCCCATTTTTTCAGGATTTTTTCCCATTTTTTCAGGATTTTTTTCAGGATTTTTCCCACTTTTTCTGGATTTTTCCCATTTTTCCCCCCGGATTTCCCCCCATTTTTTCTGGATTTTTTTTCAGGATTTTCTGCCATTTTTTCCGGATTTTTTTCAGGATTTTTCCCATTTTTTTCCGGATTTCCCCCCATTTTTTCAGGACTTTTTCCCATTTTTTCCCCATTTTTCACGGGGTTTTTATCCCATTTTTTCACCCTTTTTTTCCCCATTTCCCCCTGATTTTTCTTGCCTTTCCTCCCATTTTCCCAGCTTTTTTCCCCTTTTTTTATGGCTTTTTTTCCCATTTCTTTTGGCTTTTCCCCCCATTTTTCTTGGCTTTTTTCCCCATTTTTTCTCCCCCTTTTCTCTGGCTTTTCCCCCTTTTTTTCACGAATTTTTTCCCAACTTTTCCCCTTTTTTCCCAAATTTTTCCCTGACTTTTCCTTATTTTTTTCCCGGATTTTTCCCCGATTTTTCCCAATTTTTCCCCGGATTTTTCCCCGACTTTTCCCGATTTTTTCCCGGATTTTTCCCTGACTTTTCCCCCTTTTTCCCCTCTCCCAGGTGGATTCTCTGCAGACCCCGCTGGGGATCCAGGGCTCGGCTCTGCTGCGCTCCGGGGACGTCCTGGAATTCTCCTTCCCTCTGGAATGAGCCCCTGGAATTCCCCCCTGGAATTCTCCTCCCCTCTGGAATCAGCCCCCGAGGGAATAAACGGATTTTTCCTGCTTTTCCAAACCCTTGCTCTGGTTTTTTCCACCTTTTCCCTGGGATTTTCCCCATTTTTTCCATCCTTTCCACTTTTTTTCCATCTTTTCCCTTTTCTTTTCCAGTCTCCCCCCATTTTTCCGGATTTTCCCCCCATTTTTCTGGATTTTTCCATGTTTTTTCCCCCATTTCCCCGGATTTTCCCCCCATTTTTCTGGATTTTTCCATGTTTTTCCCCCATTTTTCCAGATCTTTCCATGGTTTTCCCCCATTTTCCCAGATTTTTCCATGTTTTTCCCCCATTTTCCCGGATTTTCCCCCCATTTTCCCGGATTTTTCCATGTTTTTTCCCCATTTTTCCAGATCTTTCCATGTTTTTCCCCCATTTTCCCAGATTTTCCCCCCATTTTCCCGGATTTTTCCCTGTTTTTTCCCCATTTTCCCAGATTTTTCCCAGATTTCCCCCCATTTTCCCAGATTTTTCCCCATTTTCCCGGATTTTTCCCTGTTTTTTCCCCATTTTCCCAGATTTTTCCCAGATTTCCCCCCATTTTCCCGGATTTTCCCCCATTTTCCCGGATTTTTCCCTGTTTTTCCCCCATTTTCCCGGATTTTCCCATGTTTTTCCCGGATTTTTCCCTGTTTTTCCCCCTTTTCCCTGTCGGGATTGACAATTCCAGGATTTCTCTTTTCCCATGGATTTTATTGGGGGGGTCCCGTCCGTCAGTGCCGGTAGTGGGGGCTCCGGGAATGGGACCGGGAATGCCTGCGGGAAAACGGGAATGCCGGGAATGCCGGGAATGCCCCCGGGAAAATGGGAAAATGGGAATTCTGGGATACCCCCGGGAAAATGGGAATGGGAAATCTGGGATACCCCTGGGAAAACGGGAATGCCGGGAATTCCGGGAATGCCGGGAAAACGGGAATTCCGGGAAAATGGGAATTCTGGGATACACCGGGAAAATGGGAATGGGAATTCTGGGAATGGGAATTCTGGGATACACTGGGAATGCTGGGAATTCTGGGAATGCCGGGAATTCTGGGACAGCCCTGGGAATGCCGGGAATGGGAATTCCGGGATCCCCCCGGGAAAACAGGAATGGGAATTCTGGGATAGCCCTGGGAAAATGGGAATGGGAATTCTGGGAATGCCGGGAACGGGAATTCCGGGATCCCCGGGAACACCGGGAACAGGGCCTGGGGGGGATTTGGGATCCCCGGGATGCAGAAATCCCGGGAATGGGGGGAAATTCGGGATCCCCGGGGCTGGATCAACCCCGGGGGGGTCTCTGGGAATGCCGGGAATGTTGGGAATGTTGGGAATGTTGGGAATTGTGGCCGTACCTTCGTGAGGAGCTGTACTCCCGACCTGCCGGGAAAGGGATCCCGTCAGCTCCCAAATCCCACTTTTTTCCCCCATTTTTCCCGTTTTTCCCACCTTTTCCCACTTTTTTCCCATTTTCCCCTCATTTTCCCCCGTTTTTCCCACTTTTCCCCCATTTTTCCCCCGTTTTTCCCCCCTTTTCCCCCATTTTTCCCATTTTTCCCGTTTTCCCCTCATTTTCCCGCCCCCTGCCTTCGCCTCCCTCCGAATCCCGGGGTTTTTTTTCCCGTTTTTCCAGCTGGGAATTCCCCCCTCCCCCTCCCCCCATGGAATTCTCTGGGAATTTTGGGAACGGAGCCCGCGGATCCATGGAAAAGTGGGAATTTTGGGAATTCCTCGGGAATTCCTCAGGATCGGAGCCTGGGGAATTCAGGAATTTTGGGAATTTTGGGAATTTTGGGAATCCCTCAGGACGGGAGCCCGGGGAATTCGGGAATTTTGGGGGGAATCACCCGGAATTGTGGGAGCGGAGCCGCGGGGGGGCCGGGAATTCTGGGAATTTTGGGAATTCTGGGAATGTCGGGAATTCTGGGAATTTTGGGAATCCCGTGGGGGAGGGGCACAGACCGTGGCGGGGGGAGGGGCTGCGGCTCTGGCGGCTGTACTGACGCTCTGGGAATTTTGGGAATTTTGGGAATTCTG